AGGGCCTGGCACCTTAACTTTAAAACAAATAAGAAGAAAATGTGGTAAAGTAGTATATTACTTCTTTGAATGTTAGGACATTCATGTATGTATTAAAGATCAAATTTTACCACTGATTTTTAAGTTTGATTTATTTTCAGTTTCAAAACTGCTATTCTTCATTTCAGCTTTAGTAGAAATTGTATTGGTTCATTAAAGAAAGTAAGTTACTTTAGAAGAAAGGTAACAAGTATCAATGGACATGCTAAAGACCTTAACTGCCTTTCCCAAAGTTCCCTTTAAAAAGTTCCCTTTAAAAATATCATCCACAGGAGATATTTTTCACATCTGCCTGCTAAGAAAAGTATTATATCTTCTGAATAATTGGTATGTGTCTGTCTTGTGTCTGATGAATGGATTATACAAGCAGTAAGTGATAGTGTGTCTAAGTGATAGGGTTTCCCTCTTGGTATGGCAATCAAAATCAAATCTAGTTTTTCCTCTATTAATTGTACAATAACTTAATAGCATGTGTACCCACCATCCTGTTCACTTTTTATCCTTCATACAAATTTCATTAGCTACCTTTTAAAACTGCTAATATCTAAAACCAATCTGAAATCCTCTGTTGAACAAGAGAATAAACAAACAACACCAAAAATAACTAATGTCATCTCTCTTAAAAGTAATCAAGATTCTGGAGCTAGCAGAAAGGCAAGGGTAGTTAGCAAGTACTTACTAAGCAACTGTGGCTAACAGAGCTCCGGTTCTAGCCGAAAAGAAAATTTTAAGTATATTCTATTTTCCCAATATCCTAACCTAACTCTTGAAAAGACTCTCCTTTGTGACTTTGTTTTCTTTATAACACTAAAGGTGACAAGGTATCTTTCCTATCACTAGAGAAAAATCTAGGGGGATATCATCGCCTCACAATAAACATAGCCAAAGTAAATCTTGCTTCCTCAACAGATTTGGGGCCCACTGTTCTCATCATTGCATTGTCACAGATCATCTTCTTTGAGACCTGAGCAGCAACAACTGGTAAAGCAGATGTGCAAACACTGTTTTGTAACTGGCAGATGGAGAAGCTTCTTATTCTGCCATCAAATTCATAGTTTGAGGCTCGATAGGGTAGCTATTTTGGCCTCCTGGCAAGGCAATGGCTCCTCTCCCTGCCTTTTCCATTCATTAGTGGTACATTCTAACCCAAAGGCAGATGATTCTTTGTTTTTTGGTTGGGGGCAGAAGAGAACACAGATGATTTTGTAACAAGTCATTTTTTTTATATCAGATCCACGAGTGTGGCTATAAAAGCAATGAAATTTCAACAGCTCACCTTTATGAAATGAGAAGGCACAAGACCAATTCCGAGATTCCCTGAATTTTTCCCAATTCTATTTTCTCTTCTCTGAGTTTAAAAGTCTAAATGAGTGATTACTGGGATCATAAATATGTCTAAAAGAAGCCTCCTTTCTCAACCCTTCCAATCCTTTAAGACAGTAACTCTCAAGCTTTCGCTTGTATAAGAATTATCTGGCAGGCTAGTTAAAACACAAACTGCAGGACCCTATCCTCAGTTTCTGAGTCAGCAGGTCTGAGGTAATGCCTGGGAATTTGTATTTCTAACAAGTTCCCAGATGATGTGGACACTGCTTGGCTGGGAATTATACTTTGAGAACTGCTACCTTAAGGCAATATTACATAACTAAACTAGTTCAAATACCATCTTGACTAAAAAGAGTTTATAACATATAAAAAAAAGAGTTTATAGTTTGGGGCATTCTATTCTAAAATACTGAGAATCATAGAAAATGTATAATCTAATCTATCAAAGTTTTGAAACAAGTGCCTTCAAATGCAGTTGACAGTACTTAAATCAGCAAAAATCTTACTGGGGCACAATCAAGTAAAATGCTAAGAAGAGCCTTAAGAATGATAAGTAATCCTATTTTCCTAAGGAAATAATTCAAAGAGAAAAAATTTATCTGTGCCATAATATTTACTCAGCATTACTTATGATCATAAAAGCTGGAAGTTATACAAATACCAAACAACTGGAAAATAATCATACAAACTATAGTATACTGAATAACTAGAGTACTACCTGACCATAAAAATGACAAAAATATGAAGCCTATCATATGATGTGTGGAAAAGTAAAAACAAAGTATTGAAATCAAAAAAAGTATAAAACTGATCACAACAATATATATTTACTAATAAAAATCAGAAGTAGCCGCAATAGATGTAATATTTCAGGTGAAGGAATGATATATTTCAGACACAACATTTTTATATAATATTCTAAAATACTTAAAAAATTTTATAGGATATTTTATAGTAATCACCAACAAATTTTGGTGACCACCTAACTTATTGAACTTACATTTAATATTTATGAAGTATTTTAAAAAAAAAACATTTAAACTAGAAAAATAGCTAAGAAAATTTATTTAAAGTTCTCCAACAGTACTTCTTTAAAACTGTAGTCTGAAGAAGGAAAACTTAATAACTTACTATGTTGAACAGAACTAGTAAAATTTCTAGAACGAAATGTGCAGACTGGTAAAAGCAACAGAAATTAAAAACACTGTTAGAGATATCAACTTTGAAATGTATTACTTACTGTTTTGATTCATTATGACAAACTTCCAGGGTTGGATCATTATAAATAAAAGCGGCTTCTAAATCATTGATCCTTACTCGGTATATTCTACACTGTTTGCTGTTCAACTTGATTCTATTCAAGTTTGCAACTGTGGGAAATATAGTCAGTTCCACAAACCCCTGTAAAGATAAAGAAAAAAGCATTATAATTAAAACTGGTAAGCTTCAGAACACATTTCTTTGATTTTTACTGCTTATACACATAGAACATTCCAGAGACATTATCCCAAATGGCTACGGACATACAAGTAATCTCCGAGTATCTTCATTCCAAATATCGTTGTGCTAGTGACTGAATGGGTGTGAATTATGTACACTTCATCATCCTGATGGTTCACATTCACTATCTAGCAAATTAGACCATCTGCTAGAAAAGAAGTGAAAGGACTCACTACTCTTGAATATAATAATTCCTGGACAGACTGGAACCCAAACAGGAAGGAAACAAAATGACGTTGTGGGAGGCAGAAAGGGAATCAAAACCAAGTCGGTGAAAGAACACGGTCCCCCAAAAGAGAGTCAAAAACTACATCAATGAAGCTAACAAGTATGAGTCTCTGCACACAGGAGGTAAACCAGGACATGTGAAAGAGCAAGAGCTGTGAGAGACACTCGGGCAAGCAGAGAATATCAACTGCTGACTCCAAGAGCATATTTCACAGTGCTTGATGATTACCTACCAAGTAGTCTCAGAGGCCACATACATGTAGTTCTATTTTAGCTGCATGGTAAGCAATCCATCTGAAAAATGTATCTACGACATGAGCTAAACACACTGACTGCCCACCACCCCCTTGTGTTGAATCAAATGGGAAAGACACCAATGAAACATGGAATATGTGTTCAGTGAGTGAAATATCCTGGGTTGAATAATGATGGTCTCAAACACTAAAAATTGGAAAGACATGAAATAGTAACATTTCAGGGGCTGCAAAGTGAACAGAAAAATTTCAGAAGCTGCAACAGGAATATGGAAGACAAAATTCAAGCAATAACCATAAAGGACTAGATAATAACAATTATAATGGTTACTATTTAATGAGCATTACTATATGCCATATATTACATGAAATACTGTCATAATCCCAATAACTTTAAGAGATAAGTACTATGTTGTATTTTTTATAGATGTTAACACAGTTAAGAAATTTATAACATTAATAAGTGGAAAACTGAGTTTCAAATCCATTCCTAAATGACCTTAATTGATTTCCACTCACTATGCCATGTCTCCCAGTACGAGGCTTTTAAAAAACATGGAAGAATTTTTTTTAGATAACATTCAACTCAACTGCTCAAAAACCTAGAGATTTCATAGCTGTTTTTACCCCAATTCCCAAATAAGAGAACTATACATCCTTAAATTAGACCATGTTAAAAGCTATGTGGAAGCAACTGAGCACAGAAAGAGCAGAAGCAAAAAACACTGTTGATGAAGCCTCTGTGTTTAAAGGTGTTAACTGTGAGCAACTGCAAGGAGGAAGACCCAAACTCTCTTAGCATATCAGCGATGCAATGACTAATCTACATAAATAAGTGTGGATCAGTTGAAAGACAGCAAGCAGAACCAAGATAAAGGCAAAAGTTAACTAGAAAAGATTTTGGAAAATGATGTCAAAGGTCAACTACATAGGTGAAACATAAGACCATAGGTGAAACTTAAGAGCAGGATTTGGCTTCCTAAACTAATGTTAACAATAACAAAACAGTGAATGCAGTATATTTCACAAAGACAGGGAAACTCAGTCTTCTTGTATCATCAGTCTCTGACACCACCTAGAGTCCTAACCGATACCTGCCTGCAACACTGACCCGGTGACTGGCCTCCAATCCCTATCATGCTTAGCCACTGACATAACTGCAACCCCCGCAAGTGATCTCATATCTCCTTGCTCCTTGTTCTCTCCCTACTTCAACAGCTGACCATCCTCCTAGAGTCACTATCCTACTTTAAGCAACCTCTCCTGTGCCATTCGACCCTTTCAAAAACTTCTCTACCTTTTAGCCTTAGAAAGAATGTCTATGAATCCCCCTTGACAAGTTATTCTTTCATTTGCTATAAATTAGAGGAGAGGAAAACAGGAAACCTAGTTTGCACTGCTACTCCTAGACCATTTTCAGGATTTAATACAGCATAGAGCAGATGAGCAAAGGCAGCACAGTGTCACTGTTAAATGCGTGGGTTCTGGAGGTAGACCGCCTGCATTCAAATCTCAGCTCCACCACTTAGTAAGTGTATGATTTTGGGCTCAGTTACTCTAGCTCTCTATGCCTCAGTTTCCTCACCTGTAAAACAAGAATGACACTACCTGTCTTTTGGTGTTGTTATGACAACTGAGCAATTTAATATAGGGAAAGCACTTAAAATCCTAGATGGCACTTGTTATTATTCTTTTCTACTTCTTTCCTTTGTGTTCGTGCCATACAGGTATACCATCCTCTATTTGTCTTCATTAATATCCCAAACTCCCCAACATTCACTGAAAGGATCATACTTTCCCTTTCTAACCCATCTCTACCATCACTCTAAGTGACTTGAATGTAGCTATATCTGATACACGCCGTTACACTGCTTCAAAATTCCTTGACTTTAATTCCTACAATTTTCACTTCCATTCCAGGACAGCAAACAAGATCATACTCATCACCGCTCAGAACTGCTCTGATGCTGACATTTTAAACTTCAATGTCCAGTGTCTATCCTTCCGTCCCTCTTATTACTTCTCTTCAGTCCTCCTGTTCAACCACATTTAGTTCTCCTGTTCCTTGACATCCTCCAGTTTCTCACCACTATCTTTCCTGGAACCTTTAGGGCTACTTCTCCATTCTCCATGGATTCTTAACTTCGACCATTCTTCTGACAACTAGCGATTCTCTTGCCCTTCTGTTATACGTACCTATCTTTTCCTCCTGTTTAAGCATGATCCATCCACGAGTCCACTAGAAGCAGAAATTCTGCTCTAATAATTACTTTCTCCTATAATTACAATTTCTCTTCTCTACAGGAGTTTTTTTCTGTGCCTAAAACATGTTAAAGTCTCACATTTTTCTTTTAAAATCTTGAGATCTATGTCACCCTCAGATTAATTCATTTTTGTTTTTTTTCTGGAGTTATATTTTGGTTCTGATCTGACACGAATCCCTGGAATCCCAAAACATATCTATAGTCCATTAATCAGACCAGATGTCTCTGGTAATAAAGATGGTCATGGCCACGTCTATCTCAAGAGTAGCACTAGTGTTTATTTCCCCAGTCCCAGAACATACAGTTTTTATATTTTTAGTAACTGGCAAATCCCCCTATTCATTCTCTGACTAATGGAGTGAGGACTATTAAGGAAGGACTAAGTGAATACCACTAGACTGCCCATTTAACTTTCCCAAGATAGTAAATCAAAGCAACTAGACATCCCTTGGGGAACTGCAGAGATAAGTGCCATGAAAGATTTGAAAAATGCCTACTACAACTTCATTTAACTCAATTATTTGGCCAGTGCAAAAGTCAAGTAGGTTTGGAGAATGATGGTAAATTATCACAAACTTGCCAATCACAACCATGTTTGCAGATGTAGAATTTTTACTACACCAAATCAGCACTAATATTGCAACTAATTATCAAGCAAATGCTTCCCCCACATCCCAAAACCAAAAAACAAACAAAAAACCAGAAGCAGGTTGCTTTCAAGAACAGAATCCCTTCACTGTCCCTGAATAACTAATAACTATATCAACTCTCCTGCTCAGTCAAAACATAGTTCAAAGGTCCCTTGACTGCAGGATGGCACACTGAGAATTACACTGATGTACCAATATTTTACTACTGGACCTGGTGAGAAAGGATGAGTAAGTTCTCTAAATGCCTTAACAAAAAACATACAGATTACAGATGCCTGTCACATCAATAAGGCTTCTGAGATTCCAGTGATCTGAGACACAAAAATAGACCTTCTAAAGTGAAAGTTGCTTCATTTTGCATTCCCCTGGATGGTGGGGGAGGAACAAGTGGGAGGAGCAGGGAAGAAGCTTCTTTGGATTTTGAAGGCAATATCTATAGTTGGGCATACTGCTTACTAAGCAACCTATAAGGCTATAAATTTTGAGAGGGTCCAAGGCAAAAATGGATCCTATAGCAGGTCCAGGCTATTTCAAGCCGCCCTGCCACTGGGGCCTTATGACTCAGCATATCCAATGGTATTGGAAATGTCCATGGCAGACAGAGATGCTTTATAGACTTTGGCTTTCTCCAAGAGAATGACAGTGCACATTCCCAGAGTTTAGGAGTATGGCCATGACCTCTTCTGCCAACAACTATCTCCCATTTCCAAAGCAACTACTGCCATTGCTACTAGACCCGCAGTAGAGACTGAACACATGACCATGGGACTCCAAAGACTGTTACCTGAAATGGCCCTCCTGAACTGAGTATAATATGAAGCTCTGAAGACTAAAATTGAGCATGTGCTGCACCTTTCCACTTTTAAATGGAAACAACACATCTGGACTAGGCCAAGTGGATTCATAAGGCACAAGCAAACAGCATGAGCAGGTGACTCAGAATCCAGTGGGACTTGCTCCCTCTGCTTCTCCACCTCTTCCCTGGTCCACACCTACGGCCTCATAGAGAGTTCCCTATGCTTAGTTGATAGACTAGGACGAAGCACAAGCCAGAATTATGAAGTTCTCAGTTTTGCTGGTACCAGTTAGAAATGGGGAGTAGCTGACATAAGAATCCTACTGAAGTGTGGCCCTGAAATACAATGGAAGAAAATCCTACAGTGGGCAAAACACTGGAAATATATCTGGTTGCACAGTACGTACTTTACATAGCAGCAGAGATGACCTGAAATAAACATCTACACTGATCCATGGGCAGCTGGTTAGGAACTTGTAAAGAATAAGACTGAAACCCTGAAAATTAGAAGATGGTGGAAGAAGTGAGTATATGAATAGATTTCTCAGAATAGGTATAATACGAAAATATTCATGTTGTTATCACATAAATGGCCATCAGAGGGCATCTACTGCCCTTAAACATCAACTGCCAAGATTATCTATCCAGTATATGTCACAGACTCTTACCCTAGCCACCTTTCTCAATACACAAAATGGTCATGGTGGCAAGAATGGAGGCTATGCATGAGCCCAACAACATCGTCTTCCCCCATCAAGGCTAATCTGACTGACTACCACCACTGCCAAGTGCCCATTTCCCAAAAGCAGAAGATCACAGTAAGCTTCTAATGGGACCTTCCCAGGAAGGATCAGTGAGTCACTAGGTAGAAAAATAACTGCATCAGACAGCTTGCGTCATAAGGGTGCCAGTGATTTGCCCTGTTAAGAACAGACACGTATTCTAGATTTTCCTTCTCTAACTACAATGTACAGTTGACTCTTAAATAACTTAGGGGTTTGGGGCACCGGCTATCCAGTTGAAAATCCACATATAACTGAAGTCAGCCCTCCACCACCGCGGATTCCCAACTGTGGATGGAAAACAGCTGACCCTTGAACAATGAGCATTTGAACTATGCTGGTACACTTATACAAAGAAATCCACATTTAAGTTCAAACCCCATGTTGCAATACCTCACATGTGCCTCCCTTGATACACAGAAAGGTGGCAACGGACTCTTAAAACACAGAAAATTTACTGGTTTTATCCTGTGCTCCATCACCCAGAAGCAGCTGGCATTATCGATTGCTAAAGGTTCAGTTACGCACCAACTGAAAGACGTTCAAAAGGATGCTGTCTTAAACTAGTGGACAAAAAATAGGGTCACTTCTCCACAGCCAAAACAGATCTGAGAACCAAGGAATAAAATTTGGAGTGACAATTTTCACTATTGCACCAAGCCACTGAAAGAACATTTGCTTCCTGTCTTTGCGACCTTGGGTTCAGTGTGTTTAGAGGTCCTAGTGGTCAAGGGAGAAATGCATCCGCTAGGGCACATAGTCAAGGTTCCATTAAATTGGAAGCTGAGACAGTCCCCTGACCACTTTGGGCTCCTTATGACAATGAATCAATAGGCAGAAAAAGAAGTCACTGTACTGGCTGGAAAAACTAATCCCAATTATCAACCAGGAACTGAGGTTCTCCTATACAGTGAGGATAAAAATTACATGTGGAATATACAGGATTCGCTGGAATGCCTCTTAGATCTCACTTGATCAATATTCCTACTCAATGGAAAACTGCAACAACTCAATAAAGATAGGACAAGCAAGGATGCAGATCCTACAGAAAAGGTCTAGGTCAGGTCAAAAGAAATGCTGATAAAAAGAAAGGAGAAATGGAATGGGTGGAGGAATAAGGAAACATTATATCAGCTATGGCCTTGATACCAACTTAAGAAAGCACGGGCTGTAGTGATAAGTTTCACATTCTCTTATGCAGTTTTCTTTCCACTATCTACTATGAAAGATTCTGGTGATAGCTAATATTTTAGGTGGGAAGAGTACTGAACTGCCATTTCTTTACACTATTACATTAGTTCAGGGGTCAGCAAACTTTTTCTTAAAGGGCTAAACAGTAAATAGGTTTTATGAGCCACACAATTCTGTCACAGCCACTCAAATCTCCAAAGCAACCATAGACAACATATAAATAGATGTGATTGTGTTCAAATAAAACTTTACTTACAAAAATAGGTAGTTGCCTATTGCTAACCCCTACAATAGCTGATAGGACTTTGTAAGTCCTGTGCTGGGAACACTAGCTCTTTATCTCAACATACAATAAGATGCTTTGGAGTAAAAGGGGTAAACTGTTCTAGTCTCCTTTTGCTCCTCCTAATCCACTCTCCACCCTACTTTGTACTCCAGGAGCTGCACTAACTGGGCCCTCTGGCTTCTGGTTGGCTTGCTCAAATGGGAGACACCGGAGGAAACTGAAGAGCGGAAGGAAAAGTAAGCTTATTATATTTATTCCCCCAGGTTCCTCTCTGCCAGGGTGAGGGAGGCAGTGGCTTCATTCTTCTACCAAAGGCCATTTAAAGGACTCTCCCACAGCTACAGTAGGTTCTAGTAACCTCTCCCTTTGTTTCTTCAGGTTTAAAGTGGTAACTGTTCCTGAATGCTATCTAGTGTGCTCCTCTATCTTGTTTCTTCTCTTAACCTCGTTTGTTCTTGCTGAAGTAGTCTTTTCACTATTTCTCCTCAATTAACATGTATGAATGTGCCATTCGTTTCCTTCCAGGACCCTAACCCACATACCATCTGGCCAATATTTCCAGTGGGAAACCTAAAATCATCCACAACTCCTTTATAGCATTCCTAATAAGACTCAACTGCAATCCCTTTCTGCCTATGATTTTGCCAGGGGCAGAGGAGGTAAAGAAGGGGAACAATAAACAGAAGGGAGTTGCAAATGACTCTTAGGTCACTCTTAATTAAAAACAGCTCGATTACTTATTAACTTCATGCCTTTAAGAAGTTAGCCTCCATTCTTTCAGATGCTTTTTATAAAAATTAAAATTAAAATAGTATCTACCTCATGGGGTCATTGTGAAGATTAAGTGAGGCTGGTCATGCACATATAACCTTAGAAGACAGTCTTATATGTAGTATGTACGCAATAAATGTTCACAGTAATTCAGTCAATCATGTCTACTATATTTCTATGCCATTTCGCTAAAATTTTCATTCAGGGCTTCATCAATTCTCCCCTAGATTATTACAGTAACCTCTTAATTAGACTCCCTAATTCTTATGTCTTCACTACCCTATTCATACAACACAATATATCTTGAGTATCCTTCCATGAGGTACAAGGTAAGAAACCATATGTAAGGAATACTGAAAGAGAAATTCCTTAAATGAAGAAATTGAACTTAATGAACTTTTAAGGATCCTTATAAATCTAAGATTCTATGATTCTTATGAAAATGTTACTTTTTAATATCTGTACAGCTCATCATATGCAAACAAGCTGGAGAGAAAAGTTTACGCCATCACTCAAAGAAAACCAGCTCACATTAAGATTTTGGTCTTTTAACACAGGTCCCCCTGAGAGAGTAAATTAAGTACTTGGACTGTCAAGGACTTTCTTAGAATGAATTCTATCCACAACCCATACACCTAAATGGGGGAGGGGAGGTTGATACTAGATTTCAAACACCTTATCTAAAATTTCACAAGCAAGCAATGTCACCTTAACGAGGTCAGTCAAAAATCAGAAAACAAAACTGGCCTCTTAGCCAAGTCAGCGTGTGTGCTAATCTTAATTTTTTTTTTTATAGCAGAAATCTCACTATGGGCTTATTCTTGTTTCATGTACAAATCTAAAATTCTTGGTAATATAGACATTCATATTCCACAACAGATTAAAGGGAACAAAACTTTAATCAGGAAATAGGAAAAAAAAAAAGCGAGGGGAGGGAAAGTTTCTAAGTATTGGTAAAGGGTGGACTTGTTACTGCTTATGATTGTTGAGAATATACTTACCACAACAGATTTTCTCTGGAAGTTTATGTTGTTGATGCAGACGACCTGATGGGTTGTATATTAAAAAATACAAAAAATAAAGAAAACATCTCTATTATTAAATGAAGCATAAGTCCATCCAAGTATAAGCAACGACTGGGTTCTAAGCAGTTCAAAATCACACTTTCTAATTTTAAAACACTACAGATTGGGTGAACTTGCTTGTTTCAAATATAGCAACAGCCACGAAAATAAATTTCTTTGGACAAATATAGTGCAGTACTTTTAAGAAAAAGGTCTGTTAACCTGCAAGGGGCATTAAATCTGTTGGAATTACTCTGTCATTCAAAGCATTTTCACCCTGGAAATATTTATTTCCACCACAGTGAGCGGGATCTAGTTCCCCACTGGGTTTCCCAGGCCAACCGAGTCAGTTCCAAGCAATCACAAAATATAACTAATGAAAACAAAACCTAGGAGAGAAAAGTGAAATGAAAAAATACTTATAATTTATATGGCCTTGGGCTTTCGAAGCCCTTGTCTCCTTTCTTCCTGTTCATTCTGGCGGGCTCTAAGCCAGTCGGCGGCATGAAGCGATCCGGCAGAGCTTGGGTTCTCGGCTTCACCGACCGCTGCGGGGCATTACCGGGGCATCCGCACACTCCCCGGCTCCCCCGCGCTCCCCGGAGCTCCCTTGGCACCCAGGTCCGGCCCTGCCCGTGCCGCCGCCGCCTCAAATTCGCTCTCCCGATTCGGCTCCCCTCAGCCGCTTTCGCCGAGCTCCTGTCACGGAGACGTGCCTCTCAGACACCGATCAAAGCGACCGCCAGCCGACATCTTGGCTGTCACCTCTGACCTCCGGCGTGACCGGAAGCCGGCGGAGGGGGCGGAACCGGAAGTTTCTTGTAGGTGGGCGGGCCTTGCGATACCGGTGGGATTTTGTGTTTGCCTTTTCATGGACTTATAGTGGGTGAGTACTGTTGAGATTTAGGACAGCGAACACAAATAAATATTTATTAGGTGAGTTGAGAAGAGCGGGAGAGAAAGGAGAGAACTTTAAATTTTAGAGTAATAAAGGTCTAGCGCAAGCACTTTGAGAAGTATGGGAACAAAGTCTGCGAAGAGCTAGGGGCGCGGAGCTAGGAACCTGAGTCTCCTAAAACCAGGAGGGGTGTGCCTCTGGTCTGTCGTGTAAACAGACACCATAAACTCACTGGGCTCCAGTGATTTAAGCTGCAAAATATGTGATTAGATCCCGGATCGTCTAACTCAGACTCCAGATTCCTCACTAGGTACTGCTGCCTTGGTTGGGGTGGGGGTGGGGGGTTGTGTGTGTGTGTGTGTGTGTGTGTGTGTGTGTTTTAAATAAAATAATCCACATAGATCCAGAAAAATTTCTTGAAAGACAGGACAAATATTTTGAAGCCATCGTATCTGCATTTTATGTGCTTGAAGATAAAACTGTAAATTCAATTAACAGTTATGTCTTGGTTAATTAATTGTGGGTTATCCATTAACATTATTTTAACCTTAGACCAGATTTATCTGTGCCTACCCTCTCCAACTGTCCTTGTCACAGTGACAAGTTCATTAGCTAAATTAAAATTAATTTGAATTTTGGCCCAAATGAAAACAAATTAGGAAAATAAAGCTATAAAAGAACTTTATCCAACATTACTTGTACATAGTTTTCTAGTGACGTTACCTGTGTCAGTATTCTCCATTACAGGATCATAAACTCCTCTATGAGTATCCTTCACATACGATTGAGGATCAAATTCATGCCATTCCAAAGTGTGTCTCTCCATCAACCAGGCAAACAGAGGAGCAAGCAATCAAGCCAATATCATCAGTGCAAAGAACTAAGGTAGACAACTAATGGCATCTAGTGACTTTCTGTTGGTGGAAGGCTCAGAGTGGAGGGGAACCCACTTACTTGAGAAATGACATTTAAGTGAAGAAATAATTCTCTTCTAGGAAACTATCACTATTTAGTTGTCTGAAAGCTTTTAAATTTATTAATGATTAGAATGTCAAATCCTAGTTAATTGAAATGTTTAATCCAAAAAGTATAAATAAAACCATATAGACTATAGAACTATACTAAACATAAAAAATAGCACTTTCTTTTGTTCTTGTTTACACTGTGTACACTGGTACATAATAGAAACAAAATTTGAAAGATACAGAAACATACATTTAGGAAAAAAAGAGCGGTCGTTTCAAAATGCTTAAGATGAGGAGAAAATAATGCCTCAAACCACTAGGTTTTTAAAAGTCTGGAATACAAATACATAAAAGAACCTTTTTGTTATAACCAGAAACTTAGTCCCCCCCAAAAGAATGTTCTTTTAAGGAATAGGCCTTCTTGAGTTGTAAACTTTAACACCATTTTGCATGGAAGATCGAGAATGTTTAGTGAGTAATGCACCTATGGTTTGCTTCTCTCCACACAAATCTCTGCGGGAACAATAAAAAAAAAAAGAATAGCATGAATATTTTAGAGAACACAGCATAATATTCACAGTACTAGTTACTTATATCTCTTTCTCCTAAATCCATCTTTCCAACAAGCGTGTGTGTGCCTGCGGAAGAGGCAGGGTAGAGAGCAGTTACTACCAAGCCTTAATTGAACTAGGTATATCACATGCAGTATCTTCGACATTCACAAAGAGTATGTGTAATATATTATTTAATCCCACATTAAATGAGTAAACCAAGGCTTGGTAGTAAAAGAGCCAAATTTTGCAGCCACCTCTGTATGACTTCAAAGCTCAGGTTTTTTCATTTTATCACACGGCCTCCAAATTAGAAATACAAGCAATGTGGTACAGGAGGGGTCTAGGCTCAGAAATCCTGGATAGTTGGCCACCTGTGTGAGCTTGTCTAGGTTGCCTCCCCTCCTTGAACTTTAGCTTACTCTTCTGTACCCCGCCCTCCCAACAAAAGGAGACTATAACTGGAACATAATGGAGGGAAGAAAGGGAGGACATGAACTGAAGAAGGGAGCAAGGGCTAGATCATGTAGGGCCCTGAAGAACATGGGAAGGAGTTGTGATTTAATTCTAAGCATAATAGGAAGCCACTAGGAGGGTTTTAATTAATGGAAAAGCTTAATGTGATCTAAGTTTCAAATAGTGGAGGCAATGAGGTGATGATTATAGAAGCTGGGTAGTGAGTTCATGGAGGGTTCATTATATTATACTGTCACTTCTGAATGTTCAAAATTTCCAAAATAAAAACTTTGGGGGGGAAAAAAATAGGGAGAGAGAAAGAGGGCAAATAGAAGGAGACCAATTCAGAGTCAAATATGAGATGATCCATCAGAATTTGCTTACAGTTTGAACCAGGGAGTGAGAGAAAAAAAAGACAAGGGTGATTGCTCGAGTTTTTGCCTGAGTAACTGGATTAATGGTAGTGCTGTTAACTGAGATGTGGAAGATGGGGTTAGGACAAGGGGGTATCAACTGTTCTGTTATGAGTATGTTAGGTTTAAAATTCCTATTAGATATCCAAGTGAAAATGTTAGTTAGGCAGCTTGATATAAGAATCTGGAGCTCAGGAAAAAAGTTAAGTATGAAGATAAAATTAGGAAGACACTAAATTTAAATCCGGGCCTAGATGAAGGCACCGAGGGAAAAAATATAAACGGAACAGAAGACGTGTGTCCAAAAACAGTGTCCTGGAACACTCCAACATTTGAAGATTGGGAAGAACAGGGAGACAACAGCAAAAGAGAATAGGAGCCGCCTTGGGGGAGAGGGAGAAAACTGGTATGTTTCAAGTATAAAGTGGTCCAGGGCGTCCAATGGTGCCAAGAGGCCAGAAAAACAAGGACAGACAATTGGCTACTGAATGTAGAAAGATGGATGTCATTGGGTTAAGAAAAGAATAGGAGACAAAGAAGCAGAAAGTGAGTACACAAACTTTTAAAAGTTTTCTTGTGAAGAAGAACAGAGGACATGGGGTCCAGTTGGCTGTTATTGTTGTTTTCTAATGATGAGCAATACTACAGAATATCGTTGATGGGAATAATCCAGTAGACAGGGAGACATTAATAACACGAAAGGAAAAGGATAACAAGATGTAAGCCTTTAAAAGACCAGAAGAGATGGATCCAGTGCAGAAGGAAGACTAACTTGAGAGGACGGTGGTGCATTATACAGGCAGGACTGCAAACAGAGTGGGTGCAGACACAAAGAGGCTGGCAGATTTGGCAGTGGAAAAAAAGATAGTTTTTGTCTGTTTCCATGTTCTCAGGAAACAAGGTCATCAGCTGAGGATGAAGAGGAAATGGGGTGCTGGTGGTATGAAAAGAGAAAAGAAAAGGTAAAGTGAGCTCCAAGGGTAGAAAAGTTTCACAAGGAAATTATGCCTTGCCAGGGGCCCTAAGTACCATTTAAGTTCTTAAGTGAGCTTCACAAGCCCAACGACATATTGTTACCTAGGAAATTTTAGCTGCCCAGGGATAGGCACAAAGTAATCGGAAAGTTGGGTTTAATCTTTGTAGGTTTTTGCCTGGGAGGTTTATGACAGGTTGGAGAGAGAAGGCCAAAGGGGTAGTGCGGAGAGTAAGTTGGAGAGACTGACCAGGGAATCCAATCTCAAGAGAGAGGACTTGAGAGGTGAGACACAGTGAAGAGGTGACAGTATTAGTGGATTTGAGGTCCTATTAGTGGCTTCGGGGCAACTCGTCTTTCTGCAATCTGCAATCTAGCTTCTACCAAAATGTTAAAGCAAGGCAGCAGGAAAGATCAGAAGTGGCATCTGAGAGGGGTGCTGGCATTGGAGTCATAGTGGGGTATATAGTTTGACCATCCCTCTAAGAGCGGCAATTTTGCAGGGAGGAGGGCAGAGAAGTGGTTTTCAGAAGCTGTGCTAAGGAAGAAAGATAACATATACCCAACCTCCAGGATCAGCAGTTGTGGAGAATGATAGAGAAGACAACCATCACTTGAGAAAGTTTCGAAGGAAGCAGACAGTAACACCAAAAAAAAAAAAAAAGTGTTCTAATAAGAAATCTAAAACCCTATGCCACACTTTATTTTTTAAAAGAACTCTCAAAATTCATTTTTAATAATTTACTTACTGAATATATGGAGCAATAGCTTCTTCTGTCCACTTCTCCCTTAGAGAGAATAGACTATTAAAACGTTCCTGATTATCCTCAGGTAAATCATCTACTTTTAACAAAAATATGGTTTCTGGTCTCGACTGTCTATCCACCAAGGCTAACCCCTATTAAGAAATGAGAAAAAGGACAGTTAACGTAATGGTCTAATGTTTAAATATGACTCATTCTTTTAACTTTAGGTTTAGCTTAGCCCAAAGCATTGAGATGCCAGCTTCATGAAACTTACGCAAATTACCCAGAGACTTACAATAGCTTTTTTCATTAAAAAACAAAACACCTCCTTTAAACAGTGAATTCTCCTTTTCCCTTCTGCAGGCTGGCTTCTACCATACAATTTATCAACACAGCTCTAGTTTGGTCCCCAATAACCTGTCATTGACAAACCCAGTGGGCCCTTTTCTTGGATTCATCCGGTTAGCTCTGTTTTGTCAATGTTGCCCCTTCCTCTTTGAATCTCTATCTGACATCACCGTCCCATTATTTTCCCCCTAACTTCATGTTGCAGTTCCTTGGGCCTCCATCCTGACCCCTCTACTTGTCTCACTGTCGCTGTCCTGAGTAACCTGTAATTTCAACTTGCTAATAACTGTAATACTTGTACCTAAACTCGAATCTCTCTTCTGAGCACCCGATTTCTATATCCAAACCTATATATGAACTAATCGTGTTTGTCACCCAAACCTGCTCTAGTCCCACTATCCTAGGAAGCCAGGAAAGCTAGGCATCATCATCGATTTCATTATTCAAACCCCACACTTAAGTGGTCACTACATCCTACACATTTTAAAGCCTCAACATTTCTCTGTCTATTCTCCATCACCTATTTCTTTGGCCAGTACTCTCTTAGTTAGTATTTAAATGTTGAGAGCCTGGATGGTTCTCCTTTTTCATTATCTAGTCTACCTACCTTCCTACCTTCCTTCCTCCCTTCCTCCCTCCGCACTCCTTCTCTTCCTACCTATTGCTAATGTAATAGTGTTCTTTCTAAAAGGCAAAACTCATCAGGTAGCTCTAGATTCTAAGTAGTGTCAATGAATGGCCCCACAGAGCTTTCTAGATAGAGCTGAAATTCCTTACCACAGTCCACAATGTCCCTCACTAACTTACCAGCACCTTTCACTCCAGTCATGTATCCCTACTAACAGGGCCCCAATTTTTATCCCTCCATGCCTTGGAACATGCTCTCTCCGATTCTCATCTCTGCCCTTCCATCTACAGAATTAAGTTCATCCTTTCCAACTCGACAGCTCTGCTGAAAAATCATCCTGACCAGATCAATAGCCCCTTTCCTTTGCTCCTATTACAGCTCATGCATGCCCTTCCCATGGCAGGGATTGCCCTACGTTGTAAGAAGAGATTAACACATGTAATGTGCACCCGCCTCCACTGCCAGTCCCCAGGATGAGGACCTTGAGGCACCTCGCGTGATGTTTTCTCTACAATGTCAAGCATGGTGCCTAGTCATAAAAGGAACTTCGTAAATACTAAGCAAATCCTTTCACTTATTTAACAAATACTTACCAAGCATACAATATATGCCAGGCAGTATGCTATATACTGTCAAGCAACAGTGAACAAAATTCTATCGAAGGAGAGAGTGCGGAACTGCATGATTAGACAGTTTTTTCCAAAGCTAAGTGATAAGTGCCATGAAGGAAAAATAGAGGGTACTAAGGAAGAATAAAACAGAAGGCATTGTTTTAGAGTGAAGGAGGGACTCCTTGATGAAGTGACTCAAAGATGAGTAGGAGGTGGCCAGGTGAAATTAGGGAGAAGATCATTCCAGAACAAAAAGCCTTGTATGAAGGTCCTAAGGTAAGAGAGAGCTTGATGATTCTGAAAACCTAAAAGAAGGCTGGTATACAGTGAGCAGGAGAGAGAAAGTTGCAAGAGATGAAGCTATGGAGAAGATTATGAAGCGCTTTGTAGGCCAAGATACAAATTCTTGATTTCATATCTTAAATGCAGTGGGCAACCATTACAGAGATTGAAGCGAGATGCTCAGCTAAGCTGACCAGCATTTTAAAAAGATCATTCTAGTAGCACTGCAGAGAATGGATTGGAGGTGAGCACAATCAAAAGTATGGAAGGCCTGCTTAGGGATGTTGTTGCTACTTAGAGCCAGATGAATATGAGAGTTTGGGCTAAAACAGTAGAAATGGAGAGAAGTGGAATCAAAAGCAATACCCCAGATGGGAACCGGGATTAACTGCAAATGGGCCTGAAGATTCTCACTGAGGTGATTAAAATGTTCCCAAACTAGGCTCCAGCTCTCCATCTTCCCTGGCTGTAACCTGCCCCCCCCCGCCCCTCCCCCAGGGGTACATAACCCATCTTCTAGCACATAATGTGCTTTTAATAAAAGAATATTTCTCATTTAAAAAAATGTTTTAAAACTAGACCGTGGTGGCTGTGTAATTCGCTAAATTTACCTAAAATCCTTTTTAAAAGTGAACTTTATAATACGTAAATTATTCTTCAAGAAGACGTTGGGTTTTTCTTAAGGATTTTGTGAGATGGATTGAGTGCATAGTCCACTCATAGTGGGTGCCTAGGAAAATAAATACTGGCTCCAAATTCAGTTCCAATACAAGTTTCATTTCACCTAGTAATTAATATTAACCCATCGAGTTATGGTGGCGGTCACCATCACTACCTTACCTTAAGCTGGTCAAGCCTAGTTGTCATTCCTTCAGGAACACTCTGTTGCCACACTTCTTGAAACTCAGCGAGATTGAACTTCACTGCATTTTGAAGTAGCATTTGTGCTGTGGCTCTGCATATTTTGTCAGCGCTCAATTCAAAATACACTTCACCTGAGGAAAAGGTACCAGATAGTTTCATGTTTTCTTCTTACACTACTGTTTCTTTTTCCTCCATGCAGTTCACAGAAAATTATACACAACTCATCTCCCACATAACCATGGAGTTATTTTTAACATGAACACACCTCAGAAAGGCACGTTAATTTGAACATACAAGTTAAAATACTTTCCAAATCTTACCTTCCTCTACATATTTTCTCCCGTAACATTTGAGACAGTGTTCGATCATTTTCCTGAAAAATTTTAAACACTCATTTGAAAAGTTATCACATTTTTATGCATTATATTTTCGATACCATTGCTAACTAGAAACTAAGATAGAAATTTGAGATTTGAAATAATAGTATATGATTCGGGTTGCCAAGTAAAACTTTACATTAGGCACTAAGTAAAATATACTGGGAAGCTATTACATGCCAGACTATTATAAAATGGCTTAAACATAATTATATAACCATCACGTACATTTATTCACCCTAGTGACCAAAATTCCCAAGTCCTTCTTGGTTATATAGTTTTCAAATTTCTATAAGATATCAAAATATAGTCTATACTTATGCCCTGGGTTTAGATCCAACTTGAAATATAATTTTCTTCCCCTTAAGGAAATCTGGAGGGACAGTGATCAACATACTTACTCTGGCTCTAAAGGGCCAAGTTCCTGAAGGCATATATTCAAAGGAACTTTACTAAAAGACCAAGATTCAGAATCCACAAGCTGAGTTACGTGATTCAGAAGTTTCATCTCATAATCAAATTCAAGAATCCTCCAATAACCTACAAATTCCAAAAGTTGTATTTATCAAAGAACATGTTAGGCAAATTAATTGGCTAATAAACTGATAAAGTAGCTGCATGCTCTTGTCCACTGCAAAGCAGGAGACACTTTCTCGCTCTAACATGGTTCTATTACTACGTAATCCAAAGAAAAAGGCCTGTAAAGAGTAGTTAAAGTCACTAGCCACACTCAGATCTTCTCGTGTAAAGATGATCATGTGTAGTCTCTACCCCACACCCAAAAATACAAATATCATCGTCCTTGAGCCCAAAAGATTAAATAAACAATATGCAACGGGGTGAAGATGTCTCAAAACTCCTCTTATATAATGTTCAATGTTATCATTATTAATAATAGTAAGCAATGCTACCTCCAATCTCACAGGCATTTAGCACTTGTAACTGAGCCATTAGTTCTTCCTCACTTGCCTGAATTTGATCGAGCAAATCTTCAGTTGTATACTGAAACAAGAAAACAAATCATTTTAATTCCTATGTAGAACATTTTTTTAAGACTTACCGAGTTTGTGGGAGTAAATACATAGACCAGATTAAAGCAACATTCATACACCAGTTCAAATTCTTTTGTTCATGTGTAATGATTACTACATGAAGTCAGTGGATATCACAGAAGAAAATACAGGGTTGAATCTTTGTAATGCTGGATTTAGCAATGACGCCAAATAACACCAAAACATGAGCAACAAAAGAAAAATAGATAAATTGGATTTCATCAAAATGAAAAACTTTTGTAGTTCAAAATATCATCAACACAAAGGGACAAATATTGTAGGATTCCACTTATATGGGATATAAAAGTAGTCAGATCCAGAGACAAAAAGTAGAATAGTGGTGGCCGGAAGCTGCGGGCAGGGGAGACCGGAGAATTAGTGTTTAATGGGTAAAGAGTTGCAGCTTGAGAAGATGAAAACTTTCTGTAGATGGATGGTAGTGATGGTTGCAGAACAATTTTAATGTATTGAATGCCACAGAACTATACACATACGGTTAAATTGGTAAATTTTATGTTAGATACATTTACAACTTTTAAAAAATTAAGAAAGTGAAAAGACAACCCTGAGAATGGGAGAAAATATTTACATATCACATATCTGATAAGGATCTTGTATTTAGACTATATAAAGAACTCTCTTACAACTAAGTAATAAAACAACCCAATTAAAAATTGAACAAAGGATTTCCTGAATAGACATTCTCCAAAGATATATAGTCAACAAGCACATGAACAGAGGCTCAACATCATTAGTCATTAGGGAAATACACATCAAAACCACAACGCTACCTCTTTAAATCCATTAGGATATAAAAAGACAGATAATAACAAGTGTTGTCAAAGATGTGGAGAAATTGGAACCCTCATACGATGGAATGTAAAATGGTACAGCCACTTCGGAAAACAGTAGAATAGTTCTTTGCAAAGTTATACAGTTACCACATGACCCATCAATTCCACTCTTTGGTATATAACCAAGAGGAATGAATACAGAAATCCACCAGAAACTTGTACATGAATGTTCACAGCAGTGCGAGTCATAATAATTAAAAAGGAGAAACTACCCAATTGTCCATCAACTGATGAAGGGGTGAATAAAATGTGGTATATCTAAAAAAATAGGGTACTATTCAGCAATAAGAAGGAATAAACTACTGATACATGCTACGACATGAATGAACCTTGAAAACATCATGCGAAGTCAAAGAAGAAGCCAGTCAGAGGAGGCCACATATTACATGTTTCTATCATATGAAATGTCCAGAAGAGGCAAATAAATCAGTAGAGACAGAAAATAGATTACAGTTGCCTAAGACTGAGGTGAGAGATGGAAGGAGGGAAAGGTAGGATTAAAAGGTAATAGCTAAAGAGTATGAGGTTTCTTTGGGGGGTGATGAAAACGTTCTAAACTTCATTATGGTGATGATTGTACCACTCTGTGAATGTACTCACAACTGTTGAATTTACAATGAGTGAATTGTTTGGTGCATGAATTATGTCTAAAAACTGTTACAAAAAAGAAATCGATCAGTCAATGGAGAAAAAGAGAACTTCTGATACAAATGTGGTCTTCAGAATCAGTAGAGTTCTATAATTTTGAAATTATAAAAGCCTTTTTTTAAATTGGTTTCTAAATATTTTTCCATACTTCTAGGAATTAGTCAATTCTGACATTACAGTAAAAAATACTTTCCATAAAGTATTTATGTAATACATAAATTCCAATACTTATCATAATGCATTTTCTCAAGAGCTCCTAATTATAATTTTCACTAAAAATTTAATTTCTAAAAAATTATAATTGCAAGGTTAGAAATGTGAGCTTTCGTCTACACAACCATCACCACGATATATAGGATTTGCTTTAAAATATTCCAGAAAAATAAAAACAAGGTGGGAGGCAGAAGGGGATAGAAGAAAACAAGATTGACAAAGTATCAATAAATGTTTAACAGAGTAATGAACATATAGGGGTCTTTCAACTTTGGGGTATGTTTGAAATTTTCATAATATAAACAAAAAAGTAAGAATGTCAACATTAAGTGCCTCTAATTATAGTTCTATTTTTTAAATTCCAAATTAAACAATGAAAATAATAGTCTTACTTTTGAGCAATTTGAATTCTCTTCTTTTTGACTGTCAGGTCCTTCGTAGGTATTCTCCATCAAAAGTCTCTTTAGCTTCTTTAATTTTGGTCTACATCTTCTTAACTCCCAATAATTATTAGAAAAGCCAAAGATCTAGAAATTATAAGTATATATTACATAAATGTATATAAATTATATATGGAAATTATAAATATAAATATCTATAAATTGTAAACATAAATATAAACATTTAGGGTCCACTCTAAAAGAAAATTTCATACAAAATTTCAAACAACCCATCTACCCTCAAGAAGAAGCAAGAAGAGAGACCTGTCTTCTGTTTTCTGTTGGGAAGGCACCCACATCTATCTAGCCATCTCAAGCCAATAGATGGGTATCTTCAGGAAACATCTTTTCAAAGCCCAATTAAGAAGATGCTGCCAACACAGTGAAAACCAATAACTGAGCTCTATATCTCAACTGTACTCTGGAAACTAGAGTATACCTACAAAGAATGGCCAAGATGGTGACAGTTCTGCAAACCAGGCAGAAATAACTGAAAATGAGTATTTTTAGGCTGAAGAATAGAAAAGAGACATTATCACAGCCTTCAAATAGCAAAAAGATATTAAAAGGAAGAAGGAGTATCCTTGTTGCTCATGATGTCAAAACTAAGCAGAAGTTAAGGGAGAGAGACTTCTATTCAATGTAGGATTTTCCTTACTACCTAGAATTGCAGCTAATTCCTTATGGGACTTGTGAAACAGTGAGAAGCCTTCCGCTCAAAGAAATCGAGCTGATAGTGGCTAAATGATGGATAAATATGTTTTCCCTCTCTATCTCCAGAACTTGTCTAGGGTCTAGCATTTAGTAGGTGCCCAATAAGAGCTGCCCATGAAAGGAGGAAAAGCTGAACTTATTTATCTCTGGAGTACCTTCCAATTCTAAAATGGAAGGTCAAGGGATGCTTCTACTCTCAAACCAGTATAAAGCTTGATTGACAAGACAAGGCCCAGAACCAGATGGAGATGCTGCTAAATGTAAGGCCTTCAAAAGAGGAGCATAAGGACCAAACAATAAAGATTGATTTTTGGCCACTGTCCACAAACCAGCAGCCTGCCGGTTATATCCAGCACACAGATGTTGGTGTGTGCTTTTGTATTAGGACAAAGGGAGGTTTAGCATAGAGTTTAAATTAGTGGCCAACATCGAAAAATTAAGAGATGTTTTACTTCCAAAGTCTAAATTTCAAGCTTTATTTGGAAAAAAGAAATCAGAAGATCTGGTAAGACTGGGTCTGCTTTCTCAAAAGGCCAAGTGGCCACCCACCTACGGGGGGCTTGTGCTCTCCCATTTGCCACACACCCCACCATCCCTATTACTCTTGAAACTGGGTATCCACACCATTCATCAAAGCCAGCCTGCTTTGTTCATGTGTATTCCTTACGTAGCCCTAGTAGGCATCCGAAGTGCAATTAGATTAAAATTTTGGTTAGTATATCTTTGCTAAGTTTTACTCAATCTCAGTACATAGAATTCCCATGAGGACTCAAAGGTACTCACAGATACTGTTATACCTTCACAAAAAACAGCTACATAACAAGTGATGAAAAAATATTTTACAAAAGAATGAAATGCCAATGTTTCTAGTTAATTACAATGAAAGACATAACCCTACAAAAACCAAACTACAATGTTTATTGGAAGATCTTCTGTTCTCGCAACATCCTATAAATCACTGAGACCTCCAAGTATTTTCCCTTATTTCTATTCTAATTGTTTTTACAAAAGAAGTTGGCCTGAAGTCATTCTGATAGAATTAAGGGCTGTACTTTGATTGTTATATGTGTAACAATCTAGCCAGGATGGAGACTTTTGTTTATCTGTCATCAGTAGTCTCTAAAAAAATTAAGAATTTGTTATACATGTCTATAGATAGTAAAGAACTAAACCAACTTCGAAGGAGACAAACACACTTCCCTCAAAAACTCAAAAGTTCTTCATTTCTCTACCTTATAAATATTACTGAATGCACTAGTTATGGTTTGGAGGAGTTTCCTTTCAAAACATTTCCACAGAAAAACTTACCCAAAACAGGTAAAGCTTTTAGAATGAGTCACCTAATAGCAAACTTTCTGCATTACAAAAAATGATCAACTCGTCTGGGACTTAAACATTAAATTGGGAAAACGAAGACAACTTCGCAAGACTATGAACAAAATAATGCTGAGAAATTTCAAATATCATTAAAGAACTTTTCGGATCTCCTATGATTATACATTTCATACTTAAAGTTTTTAATTAAAGGCAAAATTAGGATATGTATAGTCATTCTCATACTTATACAAATCAGGAGACGAAAAACAGTACCTCGGTGTGAATAATGTTACAGTGTGTTTCTTCCATCTTCAGCTGGTCTGGAGTTTTACAACCAGGAATTAAAAGCAACATATTGGAAGTGTCCGCTATCTTCAAGTCATATGTTTTGTCTTTACTACACAGCACAGCCGGCTCGTCTTTATCACCACGAATCACAAGACTGTAGGAAAATGGGAAAATACATGGTTTCTTGAAATGCCAATGGACATCTTCATTATAAAGTTCCAAAATCTTCTAGGCTGGTAGAATTTAAAATTAAGTCTTGAGGCTATATCTGGCCCCTGCTCTCATAGTTCTTGCTCAACGATAGACTCCCCAGAGCAAGAACTGGACTAAGTGACAGGGGGGCATCTGGTGGCCTCACTGAGGAAAAATAACAGGGGCGAGAGTCAAAGAATCCAAATGTCACCACATGGCATCTTTGTGCAAACTGCTGGGAAGAGCACAAGACAAAGCATACGGAAGCTTCAGTCGAGATGTCGCATTTTTCTAAAACATGCAAAAGCAGTACTTTCCAAACTTATGTGTATGCATCTTAGCAAATCTTGTTAAAAAGCAGATGGGGATTCAGTAGCTCGGGGATGGGGCCCTGGATTCTGCATTTCTAACAAGCTCTCAGATGATGATCATGTTGCTGGTCCTAGTTCCCATCTGAGTGGTCCTTGTTTTGTTCTGAGAATCCCCCAACAATCAAAGGAGCACATCCTGGCCTAACCATCAGCTATGTTGCAAAGAAACTGGAACCTTATGAAAAGGTTGCAATGCTTAATGAAAAACATGAAGAAGATACGTTTAAAAATTGGTCTAACTGAAGGCTCTGACAAAGAGTCACAGGTGGGGCCAAAAAAAGAATGACCAAAGACAACGATGATGAGGTGACAAGAAAGTTGGTTCTAGCAATTTTCTTTGTCTGTAACACCTTTAACCCTTCTGTACACAATTCATTTCTTTTCAATAAATGATATTTAAAAACCTAAAATAGAAGGCTGTGTAAAAGTTTTTTAAAACTAAGCCTTCATTTAAATGAAAAGAATAAAAGGACTTTTATTAGCTTCCTGGTGCTGATAACGTTTAATGTTCCCCAGTCCCCGCTCTTTAACATTTATTTCTATGTTGCACTATCGCTGCTTTGAAATATTTTGTTTAGAACTACCCCTCCACACGCACACACACACACACACACACACAAAAATTTAAACACACATTTCCAGGCCTTCTGGTTTTTGCCAGCTAGATTAACTATAACTGGGCAAGGAGAAGGTCCTCCCACCTGAAGTCCTTTCTCAAATCCCCGCCTACTCAGATGGGACGAAAATCCACAAGTAAAGTTCTCCTTCAGTTCCCTTAAAGACACTAGGAACTAGCATCTGAAGACGGACCAGTGAATTATAATACTGTTTGATGGGGAAAGTATGAAAACTGAAAGACAGCCCAAAGGATTCCATTGAAAGGAACCTACGAGAGAACAAACCACCTAATAAAATAAAACACAGGTGGTGGAGGAACCGACAGTCCTAATTTCCAGGAGCTGGGACTACACAGTTGAGAGCGAGTCTTTAAACTTCTTCGATTTTGTTTTTTAATCCACGGTCTTTCAGCAAATAGGTAGGTGACCTTAGATTAGAAACTGCTTCAGATCCCCAGTCGGTGACCCCATGCAGGTCTGTGTTTTTGAGGGCCTTCTACAATCACCAAGTCTGTAAAATGGCTTTAAACGTATTCCCTACAGTGCTACCCATTGTCAGGGTAAAATAAATCTGAAAAGGCAAGAAGAGCTGTATAAATACTAGCTAGATATTTCTGTTAGATTTTCAGGTAGAATGACCAAGAGTACTGTGCAGCCCCTGGCGTCACTGTTAACGTCTTCAAACCTTCCCTGAGGTTCTATTTCCTGACCTGTTTGCGCTGACACAGAACTCCGAGGTTGGCTGGAGCGGTCCCAAAGCCTCCCTCAGTCCAGCTAACTGGACGGCCTGGCGGTGGCGCGGAATCCTAGGGCAAAGGCAGCGAGCTGGGGATCAGGCCACCAGGCTGCTGTGAGCCCCCTGTCGAATCAATGGATCCCTCTGGCCCAGTCTCCTCAAACTGCGTTTCCCTGCCGGGAAATCAGAAGGTAGCGGGCACCAAGCTGGAGGCGCGGCCGCCCCCGCTCACCTGCGTCCCGCCTCCACCTGCTGGCACAGCGCGGGCTCCAGCTCCAGCAGGCAGAAGTCGCCGGCGGCGGCGGCGCTGGCCCCGGG